CCGGCCAAACTTATTATCCGTTTCAAACTTTCAATGAACAAAAGATATTATGTTCTTCTCTACATTTAGTATCATGGTTTAAGTCACCAAGTATTGAAAAAGAGTAAAAAGAAGAAGTAAGAAATTCCTTGAAAAAAAATGTTTTTTGGTTTTAGTCTTTCACAAAATAAGTCTATTAGAATAACTTTAGATTGTCGTTTTGAAAATAAATGGTGTTCTTCACAAATAAAAAATGTGAATAATGAATAGATTCTGGAAACATAGATAACTCAAAAATTAAAGAGCCATCACTTGTTCGTTAAGATGTGCCACAAAGTACATCCCATTCCTATCATCATGTATGTACTTGCGATTCAAAGCATTTGATCATGTACAATTTTAATATTTCTTCTTTACAACCATTTGTCTTAGTTTAATTAAGATAATTTCATAAACTTGTACAAAAATAACAAACACAATAGTAAAAAATTATGAATAACAAAAAATCGCGCGCGTATACACAAGTAATCACTTAGTATATTTTATAATAGTTGACTTATTTCTCACAGATGATTGACATGCATCCCTCCAAATGGCACATCATTTTTTCTATTTTTTTTTTTTAAATTTGTTGGCATTTATTTATATTGTCCATCCGTTTGTCTTCTTTCATATCCCTAGACTAATAAATACTCCTAAACAACATCAGATTTCACAAAAAAATTAGTTTAATACTCTTACGACTTTCATTTCATTATGTTCAATAAATTAATTGTTTATCACAATCACTTTGCACATTCCTTATTTGTCTTCTCGATCACAATTTTAGATCTTTTTACTTGTCACATACTCCATTAGATCTCTAATTTTGGCTCTATCTATCCAATGTTGAAAAGTTGGTAGGCTATATGAGACATAGAAGATGAGGAGAATTTGGGTGGCAAGTAAAGTTAGAGAATGATATATAAGATTGGAATCCACCAAACTTATGTTTAAGAGAGAATCAAGAGTTTACAAGCTTTTTTGCGGAAATGGACGTGATGTTGAGATGGAAAGTGGTGGTTTGATTGACTCTCTTAACCGTGGTGATTGACTCTCTCAATCTGTGAACGAAAATAGACTGTTTGAATCGCACAAACAAACTAATCTCGCAACTTCTATAGAGCTAAGTGAATTGCACACTTAAATCTAAAGAAAAGAACAATCTTTGCAAAGAAACACTTTGAAAAGAAAACAAATACTTTTATTGAATCGTGATTGAAAGGTGTTTTAGAAATGGGACAGAAATGAGCTTTATATAGAGCTCTTACAAGAATTAACTAATGGTCTAAAAATAAATACAAGAAAGAAATCATGCATAATTAATCATACTAGCCGTTGGCCTCTTAATGGGTATATCTTGGCTAAATAATGGAATTCGTTGGTTTGCTTGTATCTGGTCAGCTTGGGGAAGATTCTAGGCGCCTTAGGAAGCTTCTGGTGGCTTGAATAAGTCCTCAAATTGCAGCCAAATAAATTGGGAATGAGCCGTTGTAGTTTAATGACAAACGGGTCCGAAAAAGGCAAGTGACTCTTTGAACCATATCCACTGATCTTTTGCGTTTTAATAGAGCTAATGACATCTTGTAGAGTTTCTAGTTGATGTAGAAGGTCTTCTGGTCTCCAAAGATACATTTGCAATCTCCCAAATTCGGAAGGTTCCAAATAAGGTAAGTCGAGAATGTTGTGGTTTAGAAATTGAATAACTCTTAAACCAAAATGCGTAATGTCATGAATCCAACTCGACGAGCTTCTTTGTTTGATCAAGATTCCATAACAAGCCGATTCGTAGCTTAACTCCTTCTGCATTGATGGAAATCCTCCAATAAACGCTCGCATGTCCAAATTGGCAAAGTACAAAATCACCCAATTTGCAGGCTGAATAACTCCTTCATGTGAACTCTGATTATGATGATTCCACTTCTCACTGAGTTTATGATGAGTAAAGTTTGTGGAATAATTTGATTTGTTGCTTAAATCTTCTTGGTTCGTTCGAAAGGCTCCTTGGAAGATGCATATGTCCAGATTGGGTTCAATAGGCCTTGTGCATTCAAATTGATTGAGTTTTGGTTCAGCTATTGGTCTGGTGACCTTATCATACCCTCTCCCTTGATTGAATTTTGTCCTCAAAATTATAGGATCCAAACGGACATAAATCAAGTTAGCATCTTCAAATAAATGCGAGTCTAGAAGATTACCTAGGGTCATGGTTCTCATATAGCTCGGATATGGTTGATATTGGATATCTCGTGGCTCTTCTTTGATCAGAAACGAAGCAATGAATCCTGTGCTACACCCTGATTTCTTAAGCGTCATGGCTGCCTTCTTTGCGAAATATTCTATTTCGCTTTTGATCTCCATGTTGACCTCTTCTTGAATCTCAGTATTGGAATAAGGATCATGGAGTTTCTCTTTCGTACCTAAACCTTCCTTAGCAACTAGTGGAAACAGAAAATGCATTATCAAAGTCCTTGGGTCATTAGAAACATGTTGAATTAATTGATCAGATACCTTAGCTTGTTGCGGTTTTTTTGCCTTAGTTAGTATGACTTTTGGAATTGGCCTTTGCTCCATGCCAATGGTTGTTGCACCTTCTTGAATCGACTCCTCTCTGGTTAGACATGTACTTATC